CCCAACTGCTGTTGTTACGAATGAATTGCTCGTTAAATTTGAGTTATTTGCCAAATGAGTCATTTAATGCTACTTTTTATTTTATTCCGTGATATCCTGATATGCGTGTGCAACGTTTGGCTCGCAAAATTGGGTTCGCGAGGGAAGCAGATTGTTAGTTTTTCTTACCGATGATTCGTGAAACACAACGAAAGCTTTACAGTTGGCCTTTAGGCTACGAGATTTTACAGCTCGATTTGGTTTTTACAAACTAGAAACACTTTTGCTGTTTAGTTTCGTGTAGAAGATTATGTTCATTTTCATATCATTTAGTTGACGGATACAGACTGACGAACCTCGGCTACGATTACCTGGCATTGATATCCCTTGCTCTTCACGGCACCGTACTCTCTGTAGGCAATCAGATCGGCGTAGGAAAAGAGTCCGGTATGTTGTATGTCTTCGTATACTGCTAATTATTGGTTTTTCTGTGCTAAAAGTTCTGTGCGGTTGTCGCCGCGTCTCGTCTTTTTGCGAAATTTTATGCCAATTATGAGCAAACAAGGAGACTAGCGTTTTCTTGTCGATCTTGACGTGTGACTTGCTGTACATGATTTCTTTATGCGGGGATGATATGACAGATGAGAAGACAACGCATAAAATATTTTTTCAATTAAGGCCACCTGACGTTTCGGACCAAGTTCGGTCCGTCTTCAGAGTACAATGGGAATGGCACGTAATATTTTCATGCGGGTATGGTTGGCCTACACCATCTTGCCATACGTTCGCCAACTGAGTGAAAATCTGCGACGTATTAGAATTGCATTCGGACTCAACCTGGTGCAATTCTACGTAACCGACTAAACCACATCAAGACCCAGAAATCTAGGGAGCAGAAAGCCGGTTGGGTGCAGTGACTCTCGTGCTCCTGTGGTTCGGTTTACGGGTAAAATGATTGAAGACGAAACTGATAAACTGGCTGAAGAAAGGAAGATAGACAACATGAGGAATCTGATCAGGTGGAAGAACGCTAATGCTAGAGAAAGGGGTCAACAGCAAGTCAGCAGAGGTCAGAGACAGACGAAAAACCCTGAACTTATAAAGACAGAATGCAAGAAAAACTCAGCCATTGTGGAACAAGCTCTTACCCACCAGTATAACATATCGTGGGACAAAATGAAAGTTGTCACGCGAAAACAGCTATGTCTTTCCCGCAAAGTCATGGAAGCGTTGTTGATCGGCGCAACCCACTGCATCAGTCATGACCTTGGAACAGACGTCAGCGACACATGGACCGCAAATGTCAAGCGACCGTTTAAGACAAGACAGCAAACGCGGCACCATTAATCACGCAGTTAAACTAGACCCGCATGAAAAAATTAAAATTAAAAATTACTTGTCATTCTCATTGCGCTCTGAAGACGGACCGAGCATATATATATATATATATGATACGATACGGACCAAACGTCGGAAGTAGTTAATTACCGGATTAACCAAATTGTCTGAGTTGTGTACAAATTAGCAGCATATCATGTCCACGAAAGCACGAGCAAAATACTGTCTTCCAGGTACATGATCGAAGACTTGCATAACCTATATTTTCAGATATTTATCTAGCGAATGATGAACAACATGAGGATTTGGTGCTCAAGTTGCATCGTTTGGGCCGAACGTCATTCCGAAAATTAAAGGAAAAGCGCGACTATCACAAAAGAAGGTCGCACATATCTTGGCTGTACTTGTCTCGCCTAGCTGCCACTAAGGAATACGCGTTTATGAAGGTCAGTGCCAGATGATTTTCTGACTTTTGCTGAACGCTGCCTATTAAGGTCCTGTACGATCATGAATTTGCAGTTCCAAAGCCAGTCGGACATAATCGGCATTGCATTGCGATGCAGTTGGTGAAGGGGCATTGCTTGTAACAAAATGTTTTTAAATCTGCCGTTAAATCACTTTTTGATTAGGTGTAACGTGCATCACGTCGATCATCCGGATAAACTTTACAACCAGCTGATGGAGATAATTGTTCGACTAGCTGAACATGGGCTCATTCACGGCGATTTCAATGAATTCAATATAATGCTCTCCGATGATGATCAACCGGTACTGATTGACTTCCCACAGATGATTTCGACGTCTCACGAAAATGCTGAATGGTAATTGTTTACATTCTTGTTCCTTATTTTCAGACGTTAATCTGACTCAGGCATTTTAATACTTTGCTATTAGCGCCACAAAAATATCGTTATTTCGATGTTCGTGCGTAAGTTCGCCTTCTCCCACCCGTGTTCCCACTTTTTGAAAATGATCATTCTTTTCCTTTATGGTTCTCATAGAATTCCTCATAAAAACAGCATTGGTATAACTGAATGGTCTTATAGGGGCGAACCAGAAACTCTTTCAAAGAGTTCCTTTTCAGACTCAAAGGAAACCAGCCTGTTAGGACTTTTAAGTGTAGTGAGTGCCTTGGATAATCTGCGGCAAGAGCAACAGGTAATACGTCATGCCAATTTGGTAAGCTTGTTTACAGTCAATTCTTGCAGCTCTCAGTATTAATATTATCACTTCGCAACATAAACGTACTTTTTATGGCGCGAACCTTCATGCGGCACAGGACCAGCGTCAGTTATACAAAGCAAGGGCATCCTTAGACAAAGGGAAGTACCTTTTCCTTAGAAATAAGTGTTTGCACTCGCTATAGTTTGAGCCGTTACCGCTAAACGATCTCATCTTTACAGATATTGATATCGCGCAATTAGACCAGTTTAGTTGCTGTTTTTGGTGAGCTGGCTGACATAATTCGCTGCCTGATGATGTTCTGGTTGCTATCAATCATGACCAAAGCGATTATTTGTTCCAACACTCGTTCGGATATTGTATTACGCTTGGTAAATTTCAGGTTAACGTAGTGGCTCGTCTGTAACTATAGGCTATTTAATTCGTCTCTTTTCGGTAACTGTGTACCTCAGAATCTTTGACAATAATCCAAATCAAAATAAACCCGACATCGTCATATTTAATCCGCTTTGCCGCTTCAGACATCGTCATTGCTGACAATAAGATAATGCTGTATCTCTTACAGGGCCATGACTGTTACCTGTTTTCGTAGATGCCTATGAACCGCCGACACGGTCGATGCACTGTGTATAGCTTCTTGATTTCGTTAAATGTTCGCCCTTTATAACTTCACAAGTTTAGTACAGTTCATGACTGCTGTTAAATCCGGAGTAAGGTCTGGACCGATCTTGCATTTTAAGGTCGAAGATTATGTTTTATAGGGCACAACTTTGCTTCATTTTCATCTTCTATCACCGCTTCTCCTTTCGGGTCGCGGAGACAGACGCGTCAGACAGAGCTTCCAACGTTCTCGATCTTGTGCCAGAGTCAGAGTTTTGGCAGAACGCAACTGGAGTCTGGAACAGACTCCCTCCATATATTTGCACCAGGTTAATCTTGGCCGTCCTCTGGGCCTTCTGCCGGTCGGTTTGGCAAAAAGGTGTTGCTTAGCCTTCCTTTCTGGGGGCATTCGAAACACATGGCCAAACCATCGCAGCTGTGACTTTTGATTCTGGAGTACCAAAGGATGTATACCAAGGCTCTTACGGATGTCAGTATTCCGGACGATGTCGAGACGCGTAAGGCCAGCGACTCGTCTAAGAAAGCCTTTTTCAACTACTTGTAACCGGATTCGAAGCTTTTTAGTCATGGTCCATGACTCATGACCGCAGGTAAGCATAGGAATAAAGATCGACTTGAACACTGAGAGCGTAGTTTTCAGGCTGAGCTCTGCTTTAGATACAATAGGTTGGGCTAGTTCACACAGAACGCCGCAGGCTATTCCGCTTCACCGGTCAATCTCTTCCTCCAATTTTCCATTACTAGTAGATACAGTTCCAAAGTACTTGAACTTCTCCACCTGCTTCACTGCCTCTCCGTTAATCTGAAGAGAACAACGGGCAGGAGAACGAGAAAGCACTAGGCTTTTCGTTTTAGACGCGTTCACACGCATGTCGGTTACGTCTCACTCGGCTGCCAACCTTTCTAAGGAGCACTGAAGACCAATTTCAGAAGATGCTAATAGAGCAAGGTCGTCTACACACAGGAACCTTCTCGACTTCAAATCTCTTACACCGATACCCTTATCGCCTTT